TAAAATATTATCACCGCAAACAAGTTTGTGCGATGTCAGGTGTTAATGGCAATTAATTAGCCATTTCCCCGACGTTATGTGACAAAAAAACAAATCCACAGTTTACTACCGCAGTAAAGTTCAGAGATCGCAATGCCAATGGACAAATGCATCCGTAAATGCATTCCTACTTTAGACTTACGTTCATTTGTAGTGGTGGGAATTTTTATCAAAACCTTTATATATATGTATACAATACATATACAAAAATATTTCATACGAATTTGGTATACACAAATGCATTATAATTTAAATTGATGTAGTTTTGCAATTGGGGTTTAAGATTGATTTTGAGACCGTAACAAACTCGAATATATCCCATCAGTTTTTAAATCCGCTGCAAAAGCCATCGACTACACGTTTGCTGACCCTTTACACGTTACCAATTTATTAATTATTATGAATATTATTAATTAATATTGGCTGCAAATGGAAGTAAATTACCCGACATTATAATTAAAAAAGTGTGTGTCATTCATTACCATTTGTTTTTACATTCATAGATTGAATTAGATAAGCTGCTATTAATGTTTACAATTTATTGTCTCGAATGTGTAAATCATAATAGTTAAATGATTCTTTCGGTAATAAAAGGAGTTTAGAAACTTTGTATGGCTCCCTATTGTAGACTGATTATATAATATAAAATGTTAAGAAAACTCTGACATACCGAGGCCTACTTTATATGCAATGAATAAACTGTTCGGAAAAGTTCAATAGTTGCTATATTAAATATTTTACCTTTAAATGAAATAAAGAACGTTTGCAATTTCTATCGTGTCATACGATGAAGGGGAACAGCGTACAAAAGCTGTTTGTGAACTAAATAGTTTACACGTAGATGCTGAGTTATAGCGTCAATAGTAATCATTCCTCTGAAATAATCAGCATTTTCGGGTCGTATATCATAACAATACTGATTATCCATACAAATACTGAATACGTGAAGTGAAGTCCGCGTTATACGACGCAGGAGAACAGTACAACACTTAGGAGTTTAAAAGTAAATTCCCACCTAAACGACATTAAATGTGACTGGGTAACTCACGTGCTCTTTATTAATCATCATATCTAAAAAACTAACATACGTAACGATACTCAAATTTGTATGCGATGCTATGAATTCTGCGCTTTTCAATCAAGATATTTTATAATGGATAGATTAAAAACACACCCCGTCACATTTTTAAAACCGAACATCCTAACAATTAAACATTTAGGGAACACAAACATTTCGACGATTCAAACAAATACTTTGAATTATCTCCGATGTATGTGGATGCAAATAATGAGCTATTTACTTGTCCAGCAATAACTACCCTAACCATTTATAATGACCAAATACAGACCAATTGAGACCACGTGTCTTTAAAAAGACCAAGTAGTTTGAAAAATTAAATAATTGTACTTTTTTAGTATTTCCCTGATGATGACTGTCGAAGACAGTCCAAATATTGGAAAATAAAAAAAAAAAAAAACAGAAAACAAAATACTGGATTTTATTTAACCTAAAACCGAAACAAATCCAATAACAAAGATTTACATATCCCTCATTTGCTGCAAGAGAGGCATAAATAAAAAAAATAATTTTCATTTTTCAGAAAATGCGTTTTAAGTTTTCAATTTTCTAACACTTTATATGCGCCAGAGGATCTTCTACACCTTCTCAATTAGAGTGTGAAAGAGATATGAGGTATATTATAGCTAACAATCGTGCATCATTATTTTCAGATTCAAAGAATGTTTGACAAATATAATACAATGTCTCCATTTTTTAATAAGACGTTCGCATTTTAAGATATTTACATATTGACCCTTTGTGGAGGAACCAGAAGGAGAGGACTAATAATTTCCACCTTGGAACACGAAATAGTTTTTAATAAAAATATTAGGTAATGCCAAGTTTGAATTAAAACAGGTAATCCTTTAGCAGGTTTGTTGACCAAGTATTAGAAGAAGTGGTATTCTTCATTTTCGAACATGATTTCGGTTTGGAAGGAATATTGCGATGTGCAACGTTTGTATTAAACCGGCACCTCTTTTCAAGAGTTATTGTTGGCACCAACTAGCTTGACAGCCGGACTGTAATTTTTTATTATGATTTAATTTGAACCTACACTAATTTAAGAATGTCCCTATAAATTTTCAAGTGAAAATCTCAACAATTTTTGAAGATATAGCCGATTTATTGTGTTAGCATCAGGTGACAGCAAGAGGGCTTCTCAAACTTTAAATGCGTTTTTCTCCAAACAGCGTGTTTGCGAATGGCGGGCACGATAACTCAAAAACTAATAACCCAATTGATTTCAAATTTTGGGACGTTTCTCTGTGAGTGTATAGATATCGTATGAACTAGGATAAAGCCAATCGGTGAAGATCTTCCTTATTTTCTAAATTGGTTTGTGGTCAAAAATAGGCGATTTTTCAAAAATATCAAATTCAAATTTAGATATGATCAATTAGTAAGCGTCCTATATACAGCTGCAATATTTATTTTGTTAATTGTTGTGCGATGTCAATAATCCTAGTTCATACGAGAGCCAGACATGTACTCTTTCTAACACCGTTGGAATTTTCGGATTCCGATGTTCCAATGAGGAGTTATCATGCCCGCCATCAAAAATAAGGACATTTTTTTTTTTGATAACAAAAAACAATAACAAAAAATTTTTGGTTAATTTCCGTAAATCTAGTGTTAATTATATACATTACTAGCGGGACCCGTGGCGCTTCGCTGCCCCTATTGAAGTTATCAAATTCAAATTTAGATATGTTTTCTATTTTCTACGTATAGGTTCAAATGCAATGAGGTGTGCATTTTCGCTTGTCCGCGGTCATGTTGTGTGGATGATGCCTATTTACTCAGCAATAGTTTGAAGTCGGTATCTATAGCCGCATTTAAGATATACACAAATTACATGTTAATAATTTTTGAAGTATGATCACGTTCGATGCTATAACACCGCATCTTCGGGAAATCTTATAAGTTTATATAGCATATGTCATTCCCAGGGCATGTTATCTAGTTCTGTGAAAATCTCAGTAAAATCTTTTCAGCATTTTTAGAGTCTACAAACAAAATATTTTAAATTTTCAATATGCAGATATTTAAAATGCAGTAAAAAGTGCATTTCCGTTGATTGTACCGTGCTCATTTTTGTATGGACGGTGTGTATTCACACCTTCGTTATTCAAGCAAATTTTGAAAACGTTATCTGTAACCATTCTTAAGATAAACGCATATTACATGTTCAGAAATTTTGAGGTATGTTTACTTTTGATGTTATAACTTCGCATCCACGCGGAATTTTAAAAGTTTATATAGCCTATGTTACTTTCAGGGCATGCCCCGACATACAGTACAAATCTCATTACGATCTGTTCAGCGGTTTTGGCGTCTATCGGTAACATACAAACAAACAAACAAATTTTTTTCTATTTTATATATATATATATATAATATATAGATTAGTAACATACCATTCATCAGATTCATTATCGGAACATACTTCAGGAATATATAACTTATAGCAGTTCAAAGATATGAAAGGGTCTGATTGTAATATAAAATACTGAATATAAACTTATTGAACTCGACTTTACCAAATTTTCCGCTGGCTCTTAATTATTTTGTGTCATGGCTCGATAGTGTCTTATGAAAGTCATCCAAATGTAATGGAGTGTACTTTACATATCCAATGTCATGAACTACACGTTTCTCTCTTAAAAGAAATAAATAATCACATGAAATAAAGGAAAATTCTTTAAAATTTCACATTCACTTTGCATTTGCAAATTCCTGACGTGGCAACAGATGCAACAATTCTAAAAGATGTTAAATTTCATAACATGACTCTATGGAGTTTAAGAAAATTAGCTGGCGCCTCTGTAATCATTTGCAGCGCATACTAATCCGACCTGTAGTGCCGTCCACAGGTGTAGATTGCAACCACCCAGAGAAGTAAGTCTGGTGTTTTGGCATTAGTGTCGAATGAACTTAAGCTGAGTAGTTAAACGCCAGCTCTAATGCGGCTAATTGAGCCAAAGCGTGGAAATGAAATTAAGACATAAAAAATGTCTGGATATTTTTCAGCGTCTCTGTGCCAAACAAAGATGGGAAAGCAAGAAGTAAGAAGCAAAACGAATGACCTAAGACACAAGCACCAACTATTTTTAACAAATTTATTTTGAAATGAAATAACATATATTTATTGTACATATACCTACATATATACCGACCTTTGCGAAGATAAACAAATAATAAAACACCCTTCTTTTCATTAGATTCTTTTGTGAATATCACAAAACTTTTATTGGTTCTCATTTCAGTTATGGTTGTTGTTGTTGTTGTTTGTTTGCATTTTAAATCTAGTCAAGAAAAAAGTCTTTGATATTGCCATAAATCATTTGTGATCTTAAGTTAAATTAAAATACATACATATAAATTAAATTGAAACGTCACGCGGGACATACTAATTAATTTGTGTATCGAAACTTAAAACGAAACTACATTTACCGAACTTGGTTTATTGTTAAGACATTATTTTTATTTTTTAGCTGCAAACGAATAAAGCCACAATAATAGCGTCATTCTCATTCATTAATTCTCTCATTGCGGACAGACACAAGCATCATCAGTAGATAGCAACCCATACGTATGCATATTGAAATTGAAATAACTAGAAATACTACCTATCTAAGAGTACGACTTATACGAACTAAGGTGGGGGTCTAAGGGGCGATGTTGTAGTCTTTACGTGCCTGTAGGCACGTTTGGACCTAGAAACGTATACTGAACATTTTAAATACTAATACTAAGATAACTAAGGCTAATGGTATGTGTATCATTGACCACCGTGCATCAAGGTTTCAGCCAACACTCATTTCAGTGGCAACCAATGCTGCAATTACTCCGTAAGGGTATTTCAACAAATTGTCGAATGTCCGAGTTCACCGAATGCCGACATTAGCTAAGCACATCGTTGTGACCATTTTGACGCAACATTTCCAATTTAAGCTCATGTTCTCGTGCTTTCAGTCGCAAGGCAGCAATAGATGAGGAGCGACGATCTTCCGGCGGTGTGCCAGAGCGTATGACATTGCCAGCTGCTGTGCCGGCGGCATTGGATTGATGTTGGGGCGAGTGATGCGACATAACGACATTCGACTGAGGCACATTGGGCGGTGGTGGTGCTTGCACAGCCGGCGGCATTGACGTGTGAACCAGCGAAAGGCCAACTACTGGCGAGTGTTGCGAGGAAGCGACCGCAACCGAAGCACCTGGTTGTGAGGTTACAGATGATGGTGATGTGGGTGGAGAGGCAATCAGATGATTGGGGGAATGTAAATCCGGCGAACCAATTAACATTGGCGGCTTGGCAGCTATCTGTGGTGGTCGGGGCATAGCTGTCATATTGGCCAACAGCGATTGAAATGAAGTAGATGGTGAATACATGGTTGCCATTCCCGGCGGCAACATGTGTGGTGGTGCTCTATAATTAAAAGAAGAAGAAGAAGACATGAAACGTCACAATTTATAAGAGATAATTAACTAGGGGAAATTTACCTTTGAAATTGATTAAAGTAGCCCGACATCATGGGAGCTCCAGCCAAATGGGGATAACGGAAGGCGGCAATATTGGCATGGGCATCAAAGGGTTTTCGTAAATTGGCAAAACCCAAATGTGTAAACGGATTCGGTGGCAGGGCGGAACCGACTACCGTCTGTATTGTTCCAGGACCGCTGGGCAAATAGGGATTATAGGGGTGGGATTGAGGACCCACCTTTTCTTGTTTGCGCCACTTGGCCCGACGATTTTGAAACCAAACCTAGCAGAAAGCAAATCAGAAAAATAAATAACTTTGTTTTTTTTATAAGAAAATAGCCACAAAACAGAAAAAAAAACAAATAACAAGAAACAAAGCAAAACAGAAAAACCCCAGATAATGCGAAAACGAAATATAAAAAGAAAAAACAATGACTGAACAACCTCATTTGTTATCAAATTGTTATTTAATTATTTTCCATGAATTCAATTAATTTCATGCATTTTGCAATGACTGCGGCCACATCATTTGGCCGTTCAAGTTCTTCATCATATCTGTTTGGCAAACAATTTTCTGCTTCTCTGCTATGCTCTGATATTCGTTTTGTGTCAGTTGTTCAGTCTTCTACCACATGTTTATGATTTGTATTACTTTCTATTCTTCGTCAGTTGTGGCTAATGGTTGGCATTACTGTTTGTGATTTAATTTGTAATTATAGGTATTTAGTTGTTGTTGCCGCTTTTTTTCTTCTTTTCCCCGCCATTGCAAATTGAAAATGAAAATTGATTGATACGATCTGAGATGTAAAAAATTTATAAAATTGTAACTGAACAAGAAAATTGCGGAATGAACAGTGACATTAAATTATGAAAATAAGCTCCACTCCTCAAGCAGATTAAATTAAGACATTTTTTTATTCAAATTTTATGATATAAATAATAAATAGTTATTCAATAATACGATACAGACACTTTTTAGAAATGTAAATATTAAAGACATATTGGAATATAAAAAGTTGTATAAAATCCAAATAATGTTTGGAATAGGCCAGTATCATTCTATACAGGTTATAACAAAAAATTGCAACACTGATATATTTCAAATAAGAAAACCAAAATCTCAAAACATTGGTGTGATATTAATTTTTTTCATTAACCCACTATCTCAATAAGATCTAACTTTGTGTGCCCGTCCGTCGGTCCATCACAATTTGTAATCCAAGTTCAGACCGCTAACGAAATCGCCACGAAATTTGTCATGTATGTTCAACGGCGTCTTTAATATTTGATGATGATCGGTTAACTATTATGATGAAAATGGACCAAAAATTTTATTGTAATCTGTATTGCAGGGCTCTGAAGAGAATATAATTATGACCCGAACGCAACGAAAATTTCGGGCAGTTCGACTATATGTGCCGTTATGTTTCGATCGCAGATTGGCATCAATTATCAATTTGAACCCTCTTATAGACAAAATAACCTTACATATCAATACCAAAATTCATATTTATTGTAATTAATTGGCATCAAAAAATATGTGCACGGAGAACTTGGTTTTTATCATTTTTGACTGCAATGGTGGCACTGTGCGTCGTGGCCGACCTTGTAGCACAAAAAAAAAAATTATTCATATTCATGATATTTTCAAATAAGACATTTTGGCCTCGAGCGTACCATTGCCCTTAATATACAGATGAGAATAATAAAAGTCAAGTCTGCGAAGAGAGCTTTTCTCAAAAAATATTACCATTCCTCATAATAAATAACAATTATTTTTTGCATTGATTAAAGTACTTTTATCAAAATCTTTCTTGTTATTAAACTTGTCTTTAATTGTAGATAAAAATAAAAAAAAAATAAATAAATTGTCATATAATTTTACCTGAATACGAGCTTCCGTTAGACCAATTTTCATTGCAAGCTCTTCTCTGTAAAGAAATAAAAGTGAAATAAAGTAATTAGAAATCTTGGTGCTTTTAAATTATCAGCTAACAATTTAAAATGTAATTAAACAAAAAAAGAAGTGTCGTTATGCACATATTCACGGTGTATTTATTGTTGTTGTTGCTGTGTTTTTTGTTCTGATTGTTGCTTGTTGGCATTTATCATTCGCATTTAATTAAAACTAATGGACCTCTAAACATTATAATTTATTAACGGTAGAACCCCTCCACCGGACCCTTTAGCTTGTCATCAATGATGAATGGTTCAACTAATTATTGTCGGGAAATGGAGCCAGTTTGTGATACGCTACAACATGTCATTTGCGAATGGCATTCAGTCTTTACAAAATATCTCATTGACTTGGCACTAAATAATCAATGACATATTTCGTAGAGAAATAATCCAAAAGAAATTGTCAGAATAATTTTTTTTTAGATACATTTATGAAAAATATTTGAAACAAATATTTGGTTTTTAACAAATTATCAAGCTTTGTAGATTACCCGCAAGTCGTTATACATCGATCAATTTAGAGTTTCCATGATTTAGCTAATTTAATTTGTTTTACCGGTTAATAACAGTAAAACGTTTGCAATATAATGGTGATTATTTACTTTTTATTTTATTTGTTGTTGTTTTTGTTGGTTTTGGGTTTTCTTTGTCAGACTCTATAGTTTTGTTGTTGGTGTTATTGTTTGTCTAACTTTGTGTTTTGTTATGGTACAATTGAATGTTTTATTAATTGAGCCATAATTAAATCAATAAATCTTGTTTTTGTTACAGTTTGTCGATGCCAGTGTTTTCCGTTACGAATAATTTGCCAATGTTGTAATTGGAATAAAATGCAACGATTTTTGAAAAATAATTGAATTGTAACGTGCCACAAAATGTGCTAATTAAATAATACCATAAAGAACGGAACAAATAAAAAACAGTAGTGGATTATAGGACACGGATTTACCGACATGTATGCTCATATACGGAAGTGAATCTATATGTGGTTTTATGTTGTTGCCAAGTGATTTAAATATTCTATATGTTGATGTTAGTTTTAAGTCAATTAACTTGCATAAGGTGTTAACTGGTTTTGGAACTATGCTAAATGATTGTTGGATGTAATGCAGTAAAATTAGAACCTTGAACTGTTTTTTTTTTATTTTTTTGTTAGAAAACGCCCACTACAGTGAAAAACAAATTCTCTTATTATTGATGGAGATAATTAAACGCTAATTTATATTTATTTTAGCTAAAGCAACGGTATCATGATTCATATAATATTATACGATTGTTGGGGATTCATTGTTCCAAATGATAAGACATATTCGTATACACTGCATCACGAATTTGAAAGGAATTTGAGATTCAGGAGATATGTTAGCTTTGCGATATATTGAAAAGTCGCTCCCGGTTTTTAAATTTATTTAAAGAAATAAGATAAAATTGATCGGAGCTGCAGGAGAAAACGAAATACCAAATTATATACACTCTGTATGGGATATAACCTTAAACATTCCGCGCGTGGCGATTGAAAAAGATTTCAGAAATTCCCAAAATTCTGAATATTGGGGCTAAATTTATATGGAGCTATACAAGACTCCCTAAAATACCGACATTTGGGAGGTACCAGGGGTAACTTAAAATAATTATTAACCTTTTTGGGAGGTACATTTTCTACCCAAATTAAATCTAAAGCAATACCCCAAAATACCGAATAGGAGGGTACCGCAAAACTTGAGACAATATTGATCAATTTTGGTAGGGGAATTGGATATATAGTGAGGACACGAATATCAAAACGTTAACCGACATATCCTTTTGCAATACCAAACATCATAGAAGTACTGAAAATGTCTGTGCAATTTTTCAGAGCTTTATATTAAAAACCGTAATTTAAACAGACAAGCAGGACATGGCTAAATCGAAATAGAATTTTATACTTATAAAGAATATACTTTATGGGATCTTAGACGATTATTTCGATGTGTTGGAAGCGGAATGATAAATTTACTACACATTTCACCCTATGGAAGGTACATAAAAGTGATCTCGAAAAGTCCCTATAACAATTGGGAAAACCCGAGCAATAAACGTTGAATTTTAAGCTATTTTTTGTAAGGACTTTGTTAATTTATCGACTTGTTGAAATTGCTTACAACTTTTTCTTAGCACTTCTCGAATAAGAAGTGTGTCATTTTACAAAATTCTTCTAATGTCATTCCCTAAATTTAGCATTGATTTTTAAACATGTTTTAGGGACTTCCCTTTAAAAAGCAATTAATTTTTAAACATTTTTTCTCATGAGCGTACATTTTTTGAATATCTTTTTGTAAGGAAGCGAGTTCTCTAAACAATTGTTTTTAAGTGGTTTCCGAATAAAGCTATTGTTAAAGTTATGCTATAAAATTTACTAAATTTGTTTGTATGTAGAGTGTAGTTCTACTAAACACACGCGACTATGGATTGTTTTATTTAAAACTAATTAAGAATATAGTAGCGTCGTCGCCAATAATATGTTATCCAATAAAATATAATCGGGAAAATATATCTCCAAGTCTTTTGTTTTTTTATCTATAATTCCCTAAAACATAAATCATCAAAATCTCATTAAGTAATACCACCCGAAAATTGTTAGTCATTCTTCATTAACTGTTAACATAACAGAAAATCAATTTAAAAACGAATATCATCAACACCACATTAAACGCCATTCGAATGATCTTTAAAAACATATTAAGCCAAAGAAAATATGTCAAACAAATGCCGATCGCCACAACCCACACACCCAGACACAGCCCGACACACATTCCTATTTTTCTTCTCGCAATGCAAATGATGGAGATCATCCAGACTCTGATCAAAAGGGGGAAAACAGTCATTGGTAGTCGCTACATCAGCGTAAACGTAGTTTTGTATTATTTAGTTAATTAATTAAATAAAAATCGAAATGGTACGGCGGCAACAGCGGGACATCAAATTATGTGCTTTTATGTAAATTAACACAATTATCGTTTGTATCTCCTAAAAAAAGATAGGCCCATGTGTTGTGTCTGACGATCACTGTCGATCGTTGAGTTGCGTTTGTTACTCTGCCCAACTTCTATCTTGCCATCGGGTTGGGTGTTTATTATAGCTGCCATCAAACAAGTTTGTGAAGAGAGAAAATTTCAAATCAAACAGCTTCATATTGATGATAAATTAAAAATGCATATCAAGAGCAGATAACAACAAGAGATAAGATAATATCATGCCCTGGAGTGTGTGTGTATGCGCGCCGATGAGAAAGATGACCAGCATCATTAAAGTCAACAGCATCATCATAGTTATTGTCTCTGGTTGCCACACTTCATTATCTTGTTTCTGATTATTGTGTATATGTGTGATTATCTTTAATATGCATATTAAAGTCACAATGAAAGTTTGTCATCTACATAAATGCATGCATACAAACGTACATACATTATTTAAAGTAGCAACAGCTCTTTAAGCTAAATATCAGGTGTTGCATTTCATCTAAACTAAGAAGGGGAACAACATTTCATGCTTTGGGCTACTATAGCCATATATTAATTGACCTAATATTTACATTAAATTGATGGCTGTAGGCATTTGCTAAATGAAATTTAAAACAACAACGACAAGAACACAAATATTACAATTTCACATGTATGTAAAGCCATAAACACGATCTTATCTCTTTGGCTAAATAATTTACTACCTTAGTGAATGCCAAGCCAAGGCAAGAATGAAACGCATAACTGGAAGCATAATAGCAAATGGAACTATAGGTCAAGGCATACCCATGCACACGCACACACACATACATTTTTGAAGAAGAGTGTCATAATTGCTTGTTTTTTTATCAAATTGTATATTTTTTGTTTAGCTACTGAAGTGCTACTTCATAGCATTTTATAACTATAATTAGCATTATAAATATGGTGGAAAAATTATGGGGTTGGTTGGTATGTCGGTATGGTACAAAAGACTTAAGACACATACTTATAATAAATATACATGTAAATATTAAACGAACCATAACATAACGATATAGGTATAACGACTTTCGTTTTCTTTCGATTTTTAATTGAATTTGTTAATGGAAAATAAATCATAAAATTTATGAATTAGTCATTTTTTGACAGATGATATTTTAATTTGATAGTTGATTATTAAAAAAAAAGTAATAAAATTAATAACCATTTTAATCTATTATTGAATATAGTTGCTATTATTGCTACGAATTTTCGCTAAATACATTTTTCGTGCAGTGACAAACAGAATTTTGAGGAAAATATTAAGAAAAAGAAAAGTTGGCCTTATTTGCGTAGAATGTAATACATACATTATACAAACTAAAAACCAGTGGGAGGATACCCTACACAACTTTCTATGGATTTTTATTCCGAGCCTGGGCAATATTTCGTGATAGTTGCACCCTCCTGCCCGATTAGAGGTCAAAAGTACATCTTCCTTACAATGACTTATTTTCCGAATATTACTAATATTGAGTACAGTCCTTCTAATTACTTGTCATATTCCCTTCACCGTTGATTGTGTTGTGATATTCGGTTTAAAAAACACACACAAAAAATTAAGTTTTCGGTCCACTTATTATCTGATTATCACCGAACATTATAGGCGTTGTTCTTGACCATAACTGAAACATTTCAAAGCGATCAGCGCTATATTTCAGCCTCCAGTGTGGCAATGGGTTACAAAATAATATCTGAATACGTAAGCACCTGTAAATAATTAAGTGTAACTCACACATCCGAGTACATACAAATTTTGTAATCTTTCACACAAAAGTCAGGGTCCATTTGACCTGCTAAATATCGGCCGATCTTTATCAAAACGTGTATAGGGGCTGTGCGTAAAAGAGGAATTATAATGCAAATGCTGTTTACCCGCAAATTGCCGTCACATTGCGATGCTAAAATAGCATATCTATGGTAGGAAAATGCGCCTAAGACATTATTGGTAGGAAATATTTGCCACCCAATTGGAACAAATACTCCGATAATCTTCCGCCCTAAAAAGCATAATTAACTCAGATTGGGCAGGGCTATTTCCTATGGCATCTCAAATGTTTACCCTTAACTTTCGAAGGTTGAACAAACACAGCTGTATACCAGGTTGTATGGAAAAATGTCGTCACTACAAGAAAAATCAGCTCTGAATAAAAATGTTCTGGTGTGAATTTACTTCGGAGATGCAATTTCATAATAACTTTGATATAAATACAAATTAATAGCCTGATGAGCAGCTTAACCAACGACCGATACACGTCTCATAATGCGTTAATAAGACGGGTTTTCTTTTAATTTCAGCACGGATCATCTTACTTATCTCGAAAGAAAAAAATAAAAATATAATTACAGTCAAATGTCTTATTTTGGGGAGTTGGTGCACGTTTTTCAACTATAATGACTGTTATTTTTTATTTTGGTTTCTTATCTGCTTACCAACAATTATTAATAATGGTCTTATACGGCATTTACATTAGAACTTTTTACAGGGTTTACCTACTTTATGAGGATTTATATGGCATATATTCAAAGGAATTGAAAATTTAAACCCACTATGTTAACCAAATCCGGTTCAATGTAAACGACCTTTTAGGGTTTTAACCGAATTGAATTCCCATTTAGTTTAAAATCTTCGTACCAAAAATTATAAATATGTGTCCTCGTTTTGCTATTATAGCCCCCATAAAATGGTGACACCAAATGTTGGTAAGAAATTTTCGGCATTTGTAGGGAAATTTTCCAAATTGCGAGCCTGTAGTTTGATATTTTGCTTTCTATTTTCAGCAATTTAAAAAGTCCCGAAAATTAATTTTGAGTACCTTCATAGTAAATTGCTGGTGGAGGGTATTAAAATTCGGACGGCCGAACTAAACGGCGATTTTATTATTCTTTTTTATATTTTCACCAAATAGCAATTTCCTAGTATATTTTACATTTTTTTTTTGTTATTTTCCCATTCAAGTATATTATTTTCCAAATTACAAAAAAACTATGTAATATACTAATAACATTTTTTATTATAAACACAACGAATCCAAAAATCGCCTAAAGATTTGCATAAATCTGCACATTTATCAAGACAATTTTTTGTTTGTTTGTATAACAAAAACATCTTTTTACGGCGAACATTTTAATTGGATCTTGACCACATGCTGGGCCCATGATCTCTCAACTTCATTGTGTGTTGCATGTGTTATTGCTTTGATTTAATTAAATTAAAAGCGTGACTTTGCTTCGATAACCGACATACATACACACATAACCACATGCTCCCTAGCCAAGTAGCAAAGGCAAAGGAAAACCTCGAAAGGAAAAAATAAAATTTATTTTTTTTTTAATATTTATTAAATTAAATTCATATAATCGCATGGACCGCAACATTGACTAGCACTAACCGCTTCTATCCAAACGAATTACAATCACTTAAATTTGAAGACCAAACGAAAACCTTCTATGCCATGGCCAACAACGCCAACAACTTTAAGTGGTTACCAACAGCTTAGGTTTAACCAAAAACCGCTAATATCATCATTTTGAGTGCTTCAGAACACCTCAAAGATCGTCAAAATCATGATCGTAATCATCAATATGTTGCATTGCGCGAATACAATTTCTGGCAAAACGTGGACTTGGTAATTGTCATCATTATCACCACAACGGCTTTAATGAAAACAGCTATGACTGCATCCGCTTGGCTTTCATATGAAATAATCAAACAACAACAACTACAGAAAACACCTTTATTTTGCTCACCGTCAAACAAAACAATTATCCGCAACGGCTAGCTGAATAAGCCGCCGTGAAGTCAGTTGCAATGGTGGTGGTGATGGTGGCGATACTGGTATGTGTGTGTGTTTCTTTATACACCGCCTAACCCAATCATTCCAAATTGTATGGCAACGTTGGCGAGCTTTGGTGGAGTTTGGAGGGGAAGAAATTATTTAAAATAAATTCAATTACAGAAAACATGAAATTTCATTATGAAAATTATAGTAATTATGTCGAAACGATTACATACGGACATAAATTGGAAAATAATGAAACGAAGCATTGCATTCAAAACACTTGTTTGGCTTAGGTTTGACGTAGCAGCCAAACAAACACAGCTGAGACAAGCGGTTTGTGTTTTATTTTCAGCTTGGCCACAATGATGCTGCAGCCTAAGATTGTGTTTTTAATTTATTTTTTCTTTTGTAATCGAAAAGAAAAACAAAAAACTGAGTTAATTTTGATTCCAAAATTAGATGTAATTGTTGTTGGTGATAATAAAAATTTGCCATGAGATCTTCAGTTTGATCCTCGAGTATTCGGAAAGTTATCCATTCAGAGTATTGCAACAGGCTATTTTCGTACGCAATGAGAAATAAGGATCTTATAATCTAACCGGCCATCACCGATTCGGCTTAGACTATATACATATGTTGATTACAAAAAATATAAGGTTAAGGTTTTTTTAAGGGATTCGAGTCACTAATATCATTTGTATACCCTAATCAACTATGTTTTATGATATTATAGCTTTGTGTGGACCCAAGAGGTTGTAACGCCGCGAAATATTTGTTTCATATCAACCGTTAATATCATTTGTATACCCTAATCAACTATGTTTTATGATATTATACAAAATACAAAATTTGTATTCTATGGCAAATATGTTTACTCCTGAAGGACATAGACCTGATATGTTGATAGTATATCCAATAGGAGTTGTTGACCTTTAAATTAATACCAAATTTATTGTTCTATCTACTCGGATGTGGAAGTTTCACTTAAATGTTTACAGGTATCTATGTATTCTGATATTGTTTAGTATTACGATTGACATACATACATTTCGAGCAGATAGCTGGGAAAATTGTGAATGAGGTCCCGGTTATGGTAATGCCTATAATTTTCGATGATGATCCCATGACATTTTGGGGATGAAACGGACCGAAAAATTTATTTTTGTCAGGTTATCTAGTCGGTCTAGACGCCACAACACAGCCGAACATCAAAAGTTTTCCATAGGGAAGGCGATCGGACCAACTCATTAGAATCACTGTTATGAGAATGAACGGTCAATATTTAGCGGGTCAAATTAACCAAAACTTTTTTGTGTAAAATAACAAAATTTGAATCCAATGGAGCAATTTTTTACTTCGGAAATACATGATTCGGAAATGATGCAGCAGATGATCTGTGGACTCTAATTGGTCAAGAAACTTAGAGCTCAGTTGTAGTTACCGGCTATAAGCCGCTATAAGCGATATGTCTGGACTTTATCTGGTCTTTTAGTTGTTATAACCGATATGTCATTAAAGATGGTGTCGTTATAAACGATTTCGTTGTATACAATATCTAATTTATCGGAATGTTAACCTTTTACTTTTACTCTAATCGAAAAGTATATGATTTTTAATAGATCTCCCCCTTCACTTACCTTGTAAATACATCTGGATAATGGGTGCGTGAAAATGCCTTCTCCAACTCCTCCAATTGAAAACTTGTAAATGTCGTACGATAACGACGCTGTTTGCGCTTTGGTGCATAATCGTCCAGTTCACCATCACTATTGGCATCGGAGACAGGACTATTGGTACCGCCACTGGCCCCAGTAGCTACAATACAGGAAACCGAACGATCGGGAACAGCATCCTGATGAGCTAATTTGGCTTCGTGCGGTAATTCCTCCAGTTTGACTTCTTCTGATATGCCCATAATCTGTATGGGCACAAAATGTTGTCAATGCCAAACGAATGACCAGCTACCAAGACGACGACGAAGAAGAAGATGATGAGGAACCTGAAATGACAGACATAACCAAAATGAAAACCAATCAGTCAAAAATGTGGTTATACATTATTTATAATTGCATTAGCTTAACCTGACTATGTACATAGTGCACAAATAATAGCTACCATAGAATACAACCCATTAAATTCCATACCATTCGGATGTCATCAGTGGATCGTGGAGAAACCACCATCTTATTATATTTAATTATTTATATCATTAATACTGATTGGCATTGATGCATACTAAGTGGACAGACTGAACACCAATGGGCAATGTCAATATCATGTCTGGGTTTGTCGATGACTGAGGACTGCAATGATTATGATTCCCAAGAATTTATGTATATTTATGGTTGAAACTATTGATTTGGGGTTTTGTTGTTGCTGCTGATGGTTGCAATTCAAGACATCCCAGCTACGGCCAGAAAGCTTTTTTTAGAAAATTTAATTGAGTCGACCATACAGCGAATTACAAATATGGTCACTGCTGAGCTGTGACTTACAACTTAATCATCAGCTAGCAATTAAGCATAGAATTCGACATCATGCTATGTGTCGACATTGGTGTCGACATGGTCCATTGCTGCCTGGCCAACGCAACGCAGCTCACTCCACCTCGACCCAGTACAACTCACATCGGGTCGTAAACTGTGTATGCCGGCATCTCGCCATGCCTACACATTGGCGATTCATACCGATGGTTGTCAAGTTGAGGTATCAAACAATTTGTTTTAAGGTGTACGACTAACAATATCATTTCACAACTTTTAGTCACGCTTAATGCTTCTTCTTCGCCCTCCTCCTCCTCCTCCTCCATTTCTGCTGCATTTCTCGTTTTGCGTTTTGGAAACATTTTACGCATATATTAGTTCCTAAATGGTCAAATGTATCCTTTTTCTTCCTTTAGATTTTGTTGTCGTTGCTGTTGTTGTTTTTGCATCAATCACTATGCGCTATGTAGTAGTGTACGAAGCTCTGCCCATGTATCGGTGGGAGCAATAAACATGCAATCCATTTGCTATTCCACGCATTACGGAATGCGTGAACAAACAACATACCAAAAACGTCTCTAAACCGAATTCCAATGAAAGCTATCCGAAAGGCACACGACCAATCACAACAGCCAGTCAGTCAGTCACATGGAAAATGCCAAATCGGAACAACTGCCACAAATGAATTTCTTGCATAAATAATGAAGTTTATTGAAGTTGTTCTTGTCCATGTTGTTGTTGTAGTCGTTGTGATGGGACGACTAATGTTCTTGAGGAATGGTAGAACTTTTGTCTTCTTTTTTCCTGATCTAATTGAGGTTCCATTTAAAAGCCAATGGAAATGGTTTGACATAACTTTGTCCATTTTATTGTAAATTATTCATAAAAATAGAAGAATATTTAATGGACACTTCATCTAATTATAAAAGTTAAGTAAAATATACAACACTGGAGGTATGTACACTACTAATGTAGGATATATTAAAAAAAATAAAGACATTTTATCGGTATTAAATATTCTTGAGAAGGGCGACATTCCTAATGCTAGTAATATTTTGTGACATTTTTTTATAACATGGCTGTTTAGAATATTTAGAAGTTTGTCGTTTTTATAAATTTTTAAAGCACGCTTTAGATAGAATAGGAATTAAATTCAAAGCAGAATTAAATTAAAGCTTTGGCTAAGGACGTGGTGTAACATTCTGCCAAAAACCAAAGTAAATAGTTATTAGAAGTTCCAAAGTGACAAGAGTCGAATTAGAGGAATTTTTGTTCCCGTGTTCCAAACTCAGAATTTTCAGTCATATTCATAAACAAAAGACTTAAGACACATACTCGGATTATACATCGATCGCCAGTTTTGTGTTAGAGAGTTGTTCGCATGTGAACAATTTATTATAATAATAGCCACTGGATATTCAAGAAACAACAACAAGCATAATGTTTCCAAGTTTATTCAAAATACATAAAATGCATAGTTAAATGAGATCTTCTACAAAAAAGTATGTCCATATTGATCACTTAGATAGATTTTTAACCCAATGTAAACCAAAATGCGTGGTACCATTATATGGTATTATACCCTAAAATGTGAACAAATATTGACAAATTTTAATAAGAAGAGAAATTAAATACCAACATTTGAAAATTATTAAACGTTGAAATCAGTTTCCTTCAGTAAAAAAATTTGACCACGATACATTTCATTATCGGTTATACCAGACCCATTTTCATATAGTTGTGATATAATTTTAAGCATGGTTATGCGATTGATTTGTAACGTATATCGTGTAACAGAAGCGTGAAAGAAAGTAAACAAATAACTCATAAATATTATTTTTTCTTTTCGGCATCAATTTAAGGGTAATCTAATTAGTTGTCGTATAGATTACTGGAATAAGACTAGTGATGTTTTGGAAGGTATCGGTTTGTGTCTTAACCCTGCCCATGAGATCCCATTGAGATCTCGGGGCACAGTCTACTTAACCTGGCATATTCGGTATATGGCGGATATGAATGATTTACTGCAACCGTCACAATATCATGAACCTGTATAAAGGCGCTCCGGAATATTCTATATATCCTAAATCAACCTAGGCCTCATGAGGTGGACCATATAATAAAATATAATTTTACGTTCTCGTGGTGATGTACGATATTAATAGATTGTCATAGCAGTTAAATTACTTAATTCAATTCTCTTCATCAATTAATAAAATATCGAAGCGTGCCATCGGCGATAATAATTGTCGAGTGGATAATAAATAATCGTACAAGAAAAAGAAAACATATTGAAGGTGTTAACTATATGGCCAAAAATGGCAGTTTATAGATCACAATTGTTGCGGCAACAATTATTATCATTATTCATATGGATGTAATGTTCCGTACACAAGTCAATAAATTGTAACACGTTCGTATGATAATATGGCTGTCAATGCGAACAACATGATAACTGCCAAAGAAACCATAACACCCGTTTTTATTTGTCCATTCAGTCGTCCGTCCGTCCAACCGTCTGTTTGTTTGTTTTGCTCACAAGACAACGCTTTTACTCGATGTTGTGGTAAAACATTCATTAATCACTGAAAGATATCAACCAGACAGAGAGACAGACGGACAAGCAAAAAGCTCACATATCCAAAACCCACACACACATGCGACTATTGATACAGAATCCAAACAGCAAATCCACAACATGAACAGAAATCGTTAAGATATGGATAAAGGCCTGGACAATGGTCATGTGCATTTGTGGGCATTGAGAGCAACATCATCCATGTGGTGAGATGTAGCCGTCGTTGTCGTTGCACACATCCAAGAGACAGAGAGAAAAAAATTGTATCAAATCAAGATTTGTATAATACAATTCGCATATTGTTGGTTTGGTTGTTTGCTATCTTCATCAATACAAAACTATGTATGTATGTTGCCGAATCCCCGACGGTCTTAATAATCCGAACGATATAGGGAACATACACACGCTCTATGTGTAGCACACGTACATATGTGTGTATGGCTTTAACAACAGCTACCATCTCTTAATATCAACGAATCAATAATCGCAACAAGCTACAACAATATCGGCTCGGACGTCTCCTTATACCATAGGGAAGGGGAGGTGGCGCGAAACATGATCGCTGTATGATCAAATTCGCTGATACGCAAGAAAATTTAACAATTCTATTAAGATTACAACAAAATGCAAATCTGGCAACATGGCTAGTGTATGTCGCTTTGACCAGAAACAAGACGGCTGGGCATCTTGAGGCCAGAGCGCCTGAAAACAAGATGTGATGACCTCCTTAAGAGGAAATCAATGTTTTGCAATCGATGCCCCATCTCAGCATTTCGTTTTTCTTCTACACATCGACACCTCGAATCTGCTTGCCCTGCGTCTGTTGATGTTTCCCAGGCGCAAGCGTGTGTAGTACGGTGGCAATATTAACAGGAAACTGCTAATAAGTTCATGAACTATCAAGAATTTAATTTACGCCAAGTGTGAATGTTACTACCCCACTAACACTGACAGCCAATGCAGTTCGGCCACAACACCAGCTCTGGTGCAGCTTGTAACTATGAATTGTATGGCAGCAGCCGTGGATGGTTGTGCAAAAAAGTTAAGAAAACAAAAAAAAAAACGCGTTAATTTAATATGGAAATTTTGTGCGATTATATACGGTTGTTTGTTTGTAGATACGTATGTATGGATGTTTACCTTTGGAATTTTTGTGGATTTCATTAAAACATCCACAAATTGAGATATAAGAAATATAAGTCCAAACAAAATGAACTTCCCATAATGCTGATAGGTGCCTACATAAATATATATGTGCGAAGGTCTGTTTGCCACTCTATCAGTGTGCGCCAGTAGCCTTTATGCAAATGCAAATAATGATTATTGATATTTCAACCTTTAATTTTTCCACAGCGCTAACAACTGCTAATAAGCCGCGATGATGTGCACTTGCTGGCCAGCATATGTTCGTTGCTTCCTCGCAGTACAAATATCGATCAACACGTACTAAATCATTCATTAGCAGATTTTCTTCTCGCACTCTCTCTCACACACACACTCTCTAGTTCTTTTCACAGCTGTATATTATTGGCTCTCGTTTATGGGGTGTAAAGATCAATTTGAATTGTGTAATTGGCAGTCAACAATATGTTGCAAAAATCGAAGACTTATGTTTATAATAAGTCAGTGTGTTATGATATTTTTTTATTTTATTTGATTTTTTATATTCTTATTGATTGTTTGTGAGAAAACGGGTTGATTTTCGATATTTAAAGTAAAAATATTATAAATACGACAAATTTATTGTCTTCGATCAGGGCAATTTTCTCGACCAGGGCAAACATTTTTTTCTTGAGAAGATTCAAGACTGAACTCCGAAAATTCTAATTCTAATGTTCAAATAACGTAAATGCTAGGGATAAATACGATTTTAAAATATACGTATTATGT